CCTGTACACAAATGTTCATAGCAGCATTATTCATAATACCCCAAAAGTGGGAAATCCAAATGTCCTTCAACTGATGAGTGGGTAAAATGTAGGATAACTGTACAGAATATTATTCAACCATAAAAAGAAATGAAGTATTGATACAAGCTACAACATTGATGAACCCTGAAAATATGTTAAATGAAAGAAGCCAGTCACAAAAAACAATATATTATATGATTCCATTTATATGAAATGCTTGAATAGTCAAATCCAGACACAGAAAGTAGATTAGTGGTTGCCTAGGGGTAGGGGGAATGTGGGAGTTTAGGGGGTGACAGCTAAAAGGGTACAAGTTTTTTGCGTGAGGTGATGAAAATGTTTCCAAAATTGATCATAGTGATGGCTGCGTAACTCTGTAAATATACTAAAAACCACCAAATTGTACACATTAAATAGAGGCAATGAATGGTATGTGAATTACATCTTAATAAAACATTTTTTTAGAAGAGAGAGAATACAGTCTCCAGATCCAAGGGTTCCACATCCGGGGATTAAACCAACCACAGATCGAGAGGCCTACAATGGCTGAGTCTGTACTGAACACGTACAGACTTTTTTTCTTGTCATTATTCCCTAAACAATACAGTATAACAACTACTGACATAGCATTTACATGGTATTAAGTATTATAATTAATCTAGAGACGATTTAGAGCATTCAGGAGGATGTGCAAATATGCCATTTTATATAATGGATTTGAGCATCCTCTGATGTTGGTAGCCACAGAGGTGGAGTGGGGGAGGTGGTGGGGGTGCCTGGAACCAATCCCCAATGGATACCACCAAGGGATGGCTGTATTGCTTCTCAGAGACATAACTTTGTATCAAGTCAAAAAGAAGTGAGAAAACTAAGGCGAATTGGGAGGAGGAAAGCATCGGAATAACAAAAGAGCATTGGACTTGGAGACAGTCTTGGGTCTGCTTTCCTTCTCTTTCACTTATGAACCATGTGACCTTGAGAATGTTACTTAAACTATCAGAGCCTCTGTTTCTTCAGCATAACATGAACCGCCATAACATAAAGTGTCCAAATTCACACTAGGTGCCTGAGAAATATTAGCTGTAATTTTTAAAAAGCAGTTTAACCTAAAGAGAAATTTGTGAAGTCCCAAATCAATATACCAACGGCCTTAAGGAAAACTGAGTACAGTCAACCAAGATTCCTAGAACTTCTCTCTCCATTTTTTGTTTAGTAAAGCAGCACCAAAGAAACCCATATTGAAAACACAATCTTCACCTTGACAGAGGTGGCATTTAGAAGGAAACCGTCTTCTCAATCTCTCACTGTAGACCACGATAAATGATTAAGCAGCAGTAATTGCAGACTTAATCTGACCCTACCAAGGACACAGGAATTTCATGACTGTGACTTTCAAAGCTGAATGGTCCATTTGCCAACCATAAGAAAAAGAGCCCCAATTATTATACAAAGGCAAGGAGGGGAAAGCCCAGCAAAATCCAATTTTGGACAGTTTTCCAACTGAGGTATTTTCTTAAAGATGGGGTTATTCAATTTACTCTCTTATCCATATTGATTTTAAAAATTTCATTGTTTTAGGTTGTCTTTCTATGTTCTTAACTATATTTGATAGTCAAGGATCTAAAGAGCAATGGATACACAAATCACTACCAAATGCTGCTGGGAAATAGATTTATAACTATGCTGAATATTTTCATTCTTGAAACTCTTGGCAGCCATGAATGCTTCACACATGTTATCAATTAGAAGACAGAATAAACGGCCTCATGGAATGCATGCTGGCTTCTGTGGATAGCATGCCAAGAAAAAAACAAAAGATTAGCCTAAAATTAGTAAATGTGGCCTGGCAAGGGCCACCAAACTGAGTATATTTTACAACTTTAACACACATATCCAGACATAACAGCAGCAGCTTCACAAACAATGAACACAGACACACACACACAAAGCTTGGAAAGGCTTAAACTAAACAGAAAAATATATCATTGCCATCAAGGCTCATCAAAGGGGAATAGATTATTTCTACGTATTTAAATGAACATAAAGCTATTCATTACCAAACATAAAAAATAATCTTTTTATTGCGAAAATTAATCATGATGCAGTCAGTTTCAACAAATTCCACAACTCAGAAAACTTGTAATATCTATAAGGACAACATGGTAAATAACACTATTCACCTCTCTTAGGCGTCAATAAAATAGTAGGTTTATCCTCTAGACAAGAATGAGAGATGAAAAAAAAGAATGAGGAAATAAGTATTCTTTATAATGAAATGAAGTTAACTGATTGCTGGTATGGCTTTATGATTTATTAAAGCCCATCTTATTACAAAAAGGATTTAAAGGGACTAGCATCTATTTGTTAGACAACAGACTGAATTCTTATTTCATTTGCAACAATCAGTTGAAGTTTCTTAAAAGCGAATTTTGATAAAAATATATGGGATTTGGATTTCAAAACATTAAAAGAGAAAGAGGATGGGGGGGAGTGAAACCAAGCAAAGGAAGGAGTATTAAGGTAACAAAATAAGACATAGGTTTTATTAAATAAAATACCTAGACATGATGCCTCAACTCCTCTATAGGACAATGGAATGTGAGAGGGAAGGTAGTTGCTATAGGCTGAACATTTGTATCCCTTCCAAAATTCATATGTTGAAATTTTAATCCCCAAAGTGATGGTATAGGAGATAGGGTCTTTGGGAGGTGATGAGGTCGTGAGGGCAGAGCCTTCATGATTGGGATTAGTGCCCATATAAAGAGACTCCAGAGAGCTATCCTGCCCCTTCTGCCACATGAGATTAGAGTGAGAAGACAGCTCTCTATTAGGCAGATGGCTGTCGCTGAAGCAGGAAGTAGGCCCTCACCAGAGACCAAATATGCCAGTGCCTTGATCTTGGACTTCCCAGCCTCTAGAACTGTGAGAAATAAATGTTTTTTGTCAATAAGCCACCTAGTTTATGTTATTTTTGTTATAGCAGCCCGAATGGATTCAGACAGTAATTCAGTAAAACAGGCTCAAAATTATCTTTATGGGTAGTGGTTTGGAGTGGGGGAATAGATTTGGAGCTAAATGTTCAACAATCCTAAATGGTCTCCTTTAAGTTTAGAAAGAAGCGCCAAGAGCTTCAGCAGTGAAAGAATAGGATACATTTGGAGGAAAAGATTGTCACTATCATTTATTATGTGAGTTTTAGGGGAAAGATAAAAAAACTATTTACAACATCCTTGATGGCACTGACTATATCCAACTGTGCACCACTTTTTCAGGAGCAAGTGCAAACATTTAAATAGCACCTATGTGGGCAGACACTATATTAGGTCTTTTTTGTGTGTAATCTCACTTTATCCTCACTTGAAGAAATAGATGCTCAGAGAGGTTAAATAAATTAATCAAAGGACACACAGCTAATAACTGGTATATATCTGCTACGATCACACAATTGCCTAAAAACAAAGATGCTTTCTATCACATCAGGCAGCATTTTTCATATCCCCAGTACTAACTACAATTAATCATACTATCTTAGAGAAATGGAATGAGAAAAATTAGCACCACACACTGGGCATTTCTTATGAGTTAATAAGCATCTATACACAATAGAACCTTACAGTAACAGCAGACGATGGGCAGAACACAATGGAATTATAGATACAATAAGATAAAATTACTATTTGTTAGGTGGGAAAAAGTTAATTTCAGAAATGAGTGGATTTCTGTTTGGAAAAAACAATAAAAAGGAAATGCTCCAAAATGGTAACAGTGGTCACTTTTTGGAGGTGAAAGTATAGAATTCTTTCTTCTCTCAAAGCTTCCGTTAAAAATTCATTTAAAAATAAGGTTTAGAATTATGTACTATGAAAGTAATATAATTACTAAACTGACACTTCCCAATTCCAGAAGACTAATTGAAGCAATAAAAAGCAAAGATCCTTGGTTATGTGTAGTATTCCCCTGCTGTAACGGTCTGCTGCCAGGAAACCCTAACAACTTTGCCAGCTACTGGGCATGTGGGCTGAAAGCACTGCCCTTAATACACATTGGCTCCTGAACAGTAATGATGCTTAGTGTCTGCTAAAATAGTGTTTACCAAAAAAAATTAGTTTATTTTCATACCAAGATCCTGAGTAAATATCTAATTCCTCCTGAGGTCTATTTTCCTCACGTATAAAATGCTGTTATAATCCCTATACTGCAGTTATAGAGGAACATAAATGAAAAGTACTTGGCATAGAGACATTAGCATATAAACATTAAAAATGGTCATTGCTTGTATTATTATATCATTATATTCATATCATCATGTTACTTAGTCTCTCATTCACTAAAAACCTACAATCGTATAGGTATGTTCACTGTGACAAAAACCTTGGTTAGGTCAGTGAAGGATCTTTGATGTTATTACCTCATTTCTCCAAACCAGTAAAGATTCTCTCTGCTGTGTTGTAATGTGAAGAGCAATCTAAAGTTCAGAAAATGATTTAGAGGCTCAGTTCTAACATTGATCCATCCTACCCAATCTGATCACTAGGAAAGAAAGGATCCTTTGCCAATCTTCAAGCCAACAATAATTTTTGCTGGTTATAAAACTGCCACTGGCCCACGCCAATTTCCTCACCTCATCAGCTTCTAAGCCTCTCTAATCACAAAACTAAGAAGGAAATAACACTCAAGAGCTCACCTATAAGCATGACTTTCCCTTCCATATTAACAAAAATAAATAAGAACAAGGAAAAACCTAAAGTCTGGTTCTCTTTAGTCTCTGGAGAATGTCTATATGACCAGATAGTTTTAAGACTTCCCTCTAGGAAGAATTTGTAAAGTAGAAGGTCTTACTTCACTCTTCCAAACAAAAAATCTCTGGGAATGAATATTCTAAATTTCAGTTACTTGAATCTAATCTTACATCCTTGTAACTACTATGCCTTGTAAAATATTTTCTTCAAAATTATCCAAAACAATTTTCCAGAGCTTACCTCAGCTTGGCAGAGGGAATGAAGACCCTGTAACACCAAGGCTGCAGGAGTGGCTTGATCAGGCTTGGTGCATTCATTCAACACCTGTGAAATGGCGGCCAACATATCTGCGCCATGCTGATATGGCCTACAGGAAACAACAGTTTAGAAACAAGATTAAAGCCAAAGAGCTGAATTACCACTCCCAGGTCTTTTGCCCGAACAAAAAGCATTAATGCTTTTCTTCACCCTTGTGCTGACTAGATGTTGACCCACAAATACTAACATCATACATTTTTCTTCAAAGATTTGCATCGTCATCATTTCTGCCATAACTTAAGGCTTATTTTTGATACAGAAATATTATCCAAAAAAGAAGGCACTTGTTAACAAATTTTATTCTCCCTTACAGTAGTGATACTAACTAAGGTGGTCACACCTATCACAATTATGATGCCGATGATAAAAATAATAATAGGAATTATAACTGACTGAACACCTACCTCATGCCAGGCACTGTGCTGGACTCACTCACTCTTCCGCCTTCCCTTGCTCTCCTCTTTATTCTGCATTTGTTGTGCTATCCCCAGAATGCTTTTAACATCATAAAGAAATGCTCAGGTCCATTCCCTGCATTCCTTGTAATCCTTCAGTGACATAATACTTTTCTCTAATTAACAAAATATCAATTGATGAAATTGCCTGGCTGGATTCTATTGTTTCACTGTCTGGCAAATAGAAATCAGTTTCCAAAACGAGAAAAATTTGACAGATCTTGAGGTGCTAACTGAGAAGAGCACTGAATAAGTTATCAACAGACTCTGATCTGGTCTGATAGTTCACCTCTCCTGAGCCTCAGCTTTAAGTATGTCAAATTAAAACGTCAGCTAATAACCCTTCATCTCAAAAATTTTTTCCATGCCAATACCTCAAGAGAATCAAAACTCTCAGGTCTTCGGTTACGTATGTGTAACTTTTAGACTAAGGTCATGTTTGTGTTGTCAAAAGGCTGAAGCTTAGAAAAAAGCCTGAGCCTTAGATACATTCTGATCTGAGATTTTACTTGAAACAGACACTATCCACATTACCAGCACCTGGGCCAACCCATTCATTGCACAACTTCAGGAAGTACCATTCAGTGTTGTCATTGACATAGGTGAGAATGATGCTCCCAAGAATTCTACACTGCAGGGGCTTGATCAACATATGCAATTGCAGGATTACAACTCTCTTCAAATTTATTTGCTCCCTAAATATGTTTACCTTATCTTATTTAAGAAAAAAAAATATCTGGCAAAGTGGAGCTTTGCTTACTTAACACTAAGCCTTGTCACCTCCAGCCTATTTATCGATCCAGGATCTAGAACAGCAGAATCATCTCCCTAATATCTTCATGTCTTCCTAAACCCTAGAACATACATGGGAACTCAAGATCATATCTTTCCTTGTAATAATTCCTAGTAATTAATTCCATGCAATGAGTCATAAATAAGGCCTTCCCTGTTGAAACTGCTCATAAAAATCAGGCATAACACAAGGACAATGTAAGGAAGAACAGTCTGACTACAGTCTACTGCTTAGGTTTCAGGGGTTTATGTACAGAAAAACAGAAAGCATAACATCATATGTTTTATTACAATACTAAATTATTACCCAGGAAAGGAAATAAATATCCTATAAACCTAGATATAAATGAGAGGAAAAGACGCTTGCTTCTCAAAGTTATTGTCCAATATTATGAAGTTTTACAATCAGAAAATTTGAATTGAAAATTTATTTATTCTTCCTGAAATATCCTCTATGTTTCCTAGCTTCCGGCTAGGTGGTCACACCTATCACAAAAAATTAAATGGAAAATAATATATCACGATATACCTTCCCAAGGGTTAAGCACATCTTACCTCTGCTTACATATATCTCTGATCGACGCTGCTTTAGCGATCAGTTTCTCCCATTGGACTTCCTTGCCCACAGACAGAGAGGGCACATCGGACATGGCCATGAAACGCTGCAGTTCAGGATAGACACGATCCTAGAAGAGCAATTTCGCAAAAAAGGTTATTTCCCAACTTCAGTTGAATAATCATTATCTCCTTTTATGCAGCATTTTAACCTCTATATCTCGCATTTGCATTGCAAATTACAATGTATTTCTTCCAATCAGCAGAGAAGAATGCTGTTGTGATTGCTGGGGATTTTCTTACAGACCCATGTCCTGTTCATTTCACAAAACAAGAAAAAAGAGGCTAAATCTCACCCGAATTACAAAGGTTCTAATCACTTATAATCATATTTCTATTACTTTTTCCACATAAATGGAAAAATAAATTACAGAATTAAGAAAATAAGTTTATTTTCTATTCCCAATTTCTCTCTGACAGTCAATCACAACTGACTGCAATACTAATCAAAAGTATCATGCTAAATCAAAACTTCTCCCCACAATCACTGATGCCACTCACTAATAAGACTCTATCAAAGCATTGTCACACATAATGGCAAAATTCGTTTCCTTCAGTGAAAGGAATATGTTTAATACTCACACAAGTGTATATCTGAGCTTACCTGCTTTTCCCACAAAGATGTCAACAAGCGCAAAGTGACAGCTCTTAGTTGTGGAGTGGTTCCAAGAAGCTGGATTACTCGTAGAATTTGTCCAATGCACACCTAGAAAATATTGAAGAAATTTTGGTTCCATAAATGTAAATGAATAATCCCAAGGTTACCAAAAGAATTTTAAAATCACTTATTATAAAATAAAGACAGAAATGAAGCTTACTACAGTCTTACCCATCTTCTCAGAGGTTGGGGAAAGTTTTGGGAGGGAATAGCTAGCAATCCTGGGGACATAAAGACCTAATCTCAGACAACGCCCAAAGGGAAATTTGGCTATTAAATGATTTAAAAGAATTAATTCTTAAATATTGTAATAAATACTTTTGGCCCAAAAAGGGAAGTAGTGATCATGGCAAACTTGAGGACTTAAAATTTCATATAATACCAAACAACGTGTATTAGTCACGCCTCACTTTCATTTTGCCCCCAACTAAACTGGTTAATATACAAACCTTGTGAACACCCAGTGTAGGTAAAGTATACAAGATATTATTATATAACACAGGTTCGAGCGGTCTTCCCAATTTGAACATCAAAACTGGAATCAGATTTGGTACCTAAAATGAATTTAAAGAACATATTAATTATGCCTTCTAAAAGAAATCAATCTATAAAGCAATCATTACTTCATTTTTCTTCAAAGGAATAATATGAATATATATGAATCAGAAGACTGAAAAAACGTCAGCTGGCCATTTGTTACTCATAGTAATCTCATAGTAACACTAATATTCTATTTCTTCTATAATTAGCTGCCAAACACCAATCAAAAAAAATGCTTTTCTTAAACAACTATGACATTCACTCTCAGTAATACAAAAGTAGTTAAGATACATCCTGCCCCAAAGAAGTTTATAGTTCCAAAGAGCAGATACCACTTAGGATATATAAACAATAACTCCACATGGTGAAATATTCAATTACGTTATTCCAATATGAAATAATTAAAATCAGTTGTACTATAAGGGAGATTAATGGACAAAAATTTCCCTCCAGTCCCCATTTCAATCCCTATGCATAACACAATAAAATGCGAAGAGCAATTCATTTGTGGATCAAAAGACTTCATATTGTTGAGATGATAATATTTCCCAAATCAATCTACAGATTCAACACAATCCCTATCAAAATCCTATCTGGCTTCTTGGCCTAAATTGAGGAACTGACCCTAAAATTCATATGGAAAAGCAAGGAACCCCAAATAGAATGAAATAGAACTCAGTGTCCCGAAATAAATCCTTATATTTATATTCAATAGATTTTTGACAAATATATCAGGAAAATACAGTGGGGACAAAAGAAACTCTTTTAAAACTAGTGCTGGATATCCACTGCAAAAGGATGAATTTGGACTCCTTCCTCATAACACATGCAAAAATTAACTCAAAATACATTTTAGACCTAAATGTAAGAGCTAAAAGTATAAAAACTCCTAAGGAAAATATAGGAGTAAAGCTTTGTGACCTTGCATTAGACAAAACATTCTTAGATATGACATCAGAAGAAAAAAACAGATTTTGTCAAATTAAAAATATTTGTCCTTCAAAGGACACTATACTAAAGAAAATGAAAAGACAACCCCATAGAATGGGAGAAAATATTTACAAATCACGTATCTAATAAGAGACTTGTATCCAGAATATATAAAGAATTCTGACAACTCAATAATAAAGGGACAAATAACCCAATTTAAAAGAGCAAAGGATCTGAATAGATAGTTCTCCAAAGAAGATTTTAAAAAAGGCCAATAAAGACAGGAAAAGATGCTCAATCATCATAAGCCATGACATAAATGCAAATCAAAACCAGAATGATATACCACTTCACACCTAATAGGAGGGCTATCATCAAAAAGGAAGATAATACCAAGTGTTGATGAGGATGTGGAGAAATTGGGACCCTCATACATTGCTGCTGGTAAATGTAAAATGGTGCAGCCCCTTTGGAAAAGAGTCTGGCAGTTTCTCAAATAGTTAAACAGAATTACCATATGATCTAGCAATTCTACTCCTAGGTATTTACCCAAGAGAAATGAAAACATATATCCACACAAAAACTTGTACATGAATGTTCATAGCAGCATAACTCATAATAGCCAAAGAGTGGCTGCTAGCCATAGTAGCCAAAGGCAAATGTCCATCAACCGATGAATAGATAAATACAATGTAGTACAGCCATAAAATGGAATGTTATTCAGCCATAAAATGGAAAAGGAATCAACATGGATGAACCTTGAAAACACTATAGAAAATAAAAGAAGCGAGTCAAGAAAACCACATATTATTCCATTTACATGAAATGTCCAGAATAGGCAAATCTATAGAGACAGAAAGTAATTGCTTAGGATTGAGGAGGTGTAGGGGAAAATGGAGAGTGATTTCTAATGGGTACAAGGTTTCTTTTTGGGGTGATGAATATGTTCTCACGTTATTTGTAATTATGTTTGGACAATTCTGAATATACCAAAAGTCACTGAATTGTATACATTGAATGGATGAATTATGGGCATGTGAATTATATCTTAATAAAGCTATTTAAAAAAAATCAATTCAAAATCATTAAGTAAATAGCTACTATGAGCAAGAAACTTTACCTGATGGCACAAAATGTAGTGTCAAAAAAATTTTGTTTTCTTTATTGTGCATTTCACAGGTTTGTTGCCCCGAATTTGTTAAATTGCCTCTATCTGCCGCAATCTTAAAAAGCCTTTTCCTTCTAAGCTTAGAAGACATCTACTTTAACTCAATTTCAAGAAGGAAAAAAAATCGTCTTAACCTTACCAACAGAAAGTGACAGTTAAACATTAATTCATTAATGAGCCTGACCATGATATACCAGGGCACCATTTGGAGCTACGCATGTAATGGCTACAGACTCACAACACACAGACAGAATTTATGATGTTTTTAATAAGTGCTGGGGCTCTACTGGAACAGAAGTTTCATCTCCCTCACCTTGAGCAAATGAAGGGAGACAAATTTTTGAATTGGCTTCCCCATTTTAATTGAAAACAAAAGGTTATCTTAGATTGCATTGCACAGTCTCAATGAATTACCCCTTCTGGGAAGATTTCTACCAAGACACTTTGACAGATTCTTAGTTCTGGGAAGGGCAGTCAGTACCTTTAGTGACATTTTATAGAACAGCGTATTTATTGTATGGCTTTTAAACAACTGTTTTAATTACATTGTCAGGAAAGAAATAAAGTACTCTATTTATGCCAAAGAGTACAGATCCTTTGTGAGTCTTAGACTTAAAGGAGTATGTAAAGGTATTTATTTTTCTCTAGTGAGTTCAGAAATGAAAAAAGCAAAGTAGAAAACTTTTACAGTAAATAATCTTAGACTTAATACAGTTCTTGAGGCTATTATAGCCCAAGTTAAATCCTAAAGTCAATGGAAAAAACAAAATAGGTGTTATTTCATTAGGAAAACACAAATATAGATATATATGTGTGGAAAATATCTTTTGCATAAAATTAAGTATGGATTGTTGTTTTCCTAATGAATAACATATATGTGTATTTATTGACTTACTTGAGATGTAATTATGAGCTCTTGATTCCTCTGCTCTTAAGCCTTCTACTCTCCAGAGGCGGAAAAGAGAATGAACACTCTAACTTTACCTTAAGTTTAAAATATGCTGGTGAAGTGCCCTGTAATTCACTGTCTCAAGACCTTCTGGTTTCATAAAAGCCAATGCTTTCTCTTCCCTCCTTCAGAATTCAAGTGATTGATAAGATTCTTCAGGGGCCCCCCATAAGACTATCAGCAAATTTCTCAGCAGAAATCTTGTAGGCCAGAAAGGGATGCAGGATGATATATCGAAAGTGCTGAAACAAAAACAACCAGCCAACCAAGAACACTATATTCCACAAAACTTTCCTTCAAAATTAAAGGAGAAATAAAGACATTTCCAGATAAACAAAAGCTGAGGGAGCTCATCCATTAGACCCGCTTTACAAGAAATGCTAAAGGAAGTCCTTCAAGTTGAAAAGAAAGGACATCAGACAGCAACACAAAAGTATAAAATACATGAAAGTATAAAGCTTATTGATAAAGGTAAATAAATAGAAAAAATACAGAACACTCTAATACTGTACTGGTAATGCATAAATCACTTTTAATTCTGGTATTGGAGTTAAAAGACACAAGTATAAATAATTATAAAAATATGTTAATACACAGCATAAAAAGATGTAATTTGTGACATGAATAACATAAAGTGTGGGGAGGAATAAAAAAGTAGAACTTTTACATGCGATTGAAGTTATCAGCTTAAAATAGAATGTTGTAACTATAAGATGTTTTCTGTAAGCCCCATGACAACCAAAAAGAAAACACCTATAGAAGACACACAAAAGATACTGAATAAGGAATCCAAGCATGTCACTACAAAAAATCAATGAATTAGAAAGTAAGATAGCAGGGCAAGCCTCGTAGCCGAGCAGTTAAGTTTACACACTCCACTTCAGTGGCCCAGGGTTTGCCAGTTCAGATCCTGGGCATGGACCTACACACTGCTCATCAAGCCATGCTGTGGCAGCATCCCACATAGAACTAGAATGACCTACAACTAGGATATACAACTAGGTACGGGGCTTTGGGGAGAAAAGAAAAGAAAAAAAAGAGGAGGACTGGCAACAGATGTTAGCTCAGAGCCAATCTTCCTCGCGAAAAAGAAAATGGAAAGATATCATATGTTCATAGGTTGGAAGACCTAATATTCTCAAAATACCCATACTAACCAAAGCAATCTACAGATTCAATGCAATCTCTATCAAAATCCCAATGGTATTTTTTTTCCACAATAGAAAATACAATCGTAAAATTCATAAGAAACCACAAAGGACCCTGCATAGCCAAAATAGTCTTGAGAAAGAACAAAGCTGGGTGCCTCACACTTCCTGACTTCAAAACATATTACGGAGCTACAATAAGCAATGCAGTATGATAATGCCACAAGGACAAACATATAGACTGATGGAACAGAATAGAGAGCCCAGAAATAAACCCATGCATATATGGTCAATTAATTTATAACAAAAGAGTCAAGATACACAATGGAAAAAGGATAGTCTTTGCAAAAAAACAGTGCTAGGAGAAAGCTGGATATTTGTACTCAGAAGAAGGATATTGGACCCTTATCTTACACCGTATACAAAAATCAACTCAAAATGAATTAAAGACTTAAACACGAGACCTGAAACTATTAAACTCCTAGAAGAAAACACAGGGGGAAAACTTCATAACATTGGTGTTGGCAATGATTTTGTGGATATGACACCAAAAGTACATGCGACAAAGGCAAAAACAGGTAAGTGGACCTAGGTCAAACTGAAAAGCTTTTGTGTAGCAAAGGAAACGATCAACATAGTAAAGAAGGCAACCTACGGAATGGTAGAAAATATTTGCAAACCATATATCAGATAAGGAGTTAATATGCAAATATATCAAGAACTCCAAAAAGAAAATTCAATTCAACAAAAAACAAACAAATAACCCGATTAAAAAATGAGTGAAGGACTTTAATAGAAATTTTCCAAAGAAGACATACA